CCAAAATGAGACGAGAGAATGAGTTATTAAAAATTGAGCTACCGGAATCTCCGATAGTAAATGGGGAGTAGAATAGGTAAGACAGGACCTCTGGTCTATGGGGATGGACCTCTGGTCTAGGGAGTGTTTGGGCATGGGCAATTCCATAAGTGACCAGTCTTTATTTGATTCTCGTGCCGTGGTAGCCTGCTGGTGCACCGACACTCGACTACTGCCTACTTGTTCGCGTTTAGTGGGACATTGCCGAATCACCTGGACAGGGTGATGATAAGCTCGTGGTTCCACTAGACACTCAATGAGTCTCCATGGAGCACTGAGTCAAAAATAAATTTTTAAATTTTGAGTCAAAAGCATGATTTTAAAGTTTTGCGTTTTGAGTCACATTTGCATATCATAAACATGTTGGATGATGAAATTGTAGATTATTCATGATTTGTATGATATTCTCTATTATGATTCCATGAATGAATTATTTCTCACAATTAATTTTTAAATTAAATTACATATGGTTGTATATTTATATGCAGTTAGGAACTTATTAGAAGGAATGTTTCATTAGTTGATTTTATCGTATGAATGTTTGCTTTATTTGTTGTGGATAAAATTAAATGTCTAACCCCATAAATATTTCAATCCCAGATGTTGGTGACGTATGATGCAGGAATACATAGTCCAAGAGATAGATGTCAGATGCAAAAATCCAGAGCTTAGGCTGGGAATTGTATAACATATAAGTATAACTTCATGACTTGTAATATTTTGAAAACTTTGTACTAGAACTTGTTGCTTAATTTAATATAAAACCTTACCTAAATTAATTGTCCACTTAGTATATTTTCTATTAACCTTCTATGAATATTGAAAATATTAATAACTTAGATAATAAATTAGAATTAATAAATGTAATCTGTAAGGGGGTTACATGCGCAAACTCTTGGGGTTCCAATTTCGCATCGAGTACAAACCTGGGGCTTCCAATAAAGTGGCTGACGCACTTTCACGTGTGCCGGCTGACTGGCCAGACAGTGACCACACACCCGCACTCAGAGCATTAGTGTCATCACCTACATATGGTATTATTACTTAGCTCCAAAAAGATAATGCTTCAGATTTTTTCTATCAGACTTTTCGTGAACAACACATGCAGGGATTGCTCCGGTACCCTTATACTATCATGAATGGGGTCCTCCTCCATACCGGTCGTTATGTGATCAACCCAACATCTCCTCTATGTCATACAATCATTAGCGAATTTCACGATACACCAAGTGGTGGTCATGCTGGTGTGAAACGTACCCTAGTTCGTGTTGCTGCCAATTTTTATTGGTCCGGTATGCGTAAAGCAGTGGAAGAGTATGTCGGCTCATGTCTTACTTGCCAACAAATTAAATACTCAACGCAGGTTCCAGCGGGACTCCTTCAACCTCTCCCGATTCCAGAGACGGTTTGGGAAGATGTGGGAAGATGTGACAATGGATTTTATTACGGGTCTCCCTCCATCTTAAGGATCCACAGTTATCCTTGTTGTTGTGGATCGATTATCGAAAACAACTCACTTTGGTGCTCTTCCCACGTCATTTACCGCTTCCAAAGTAGCAGAGTTGTTTGTATCTTTGGTTGTGCGTCACCATGGGTACCCTCGTTCCATTGTGTCTGATCGTGATCCGGTCTTCATTAGCGTTTTTTGGCGCAAACTGTTTGAACTTAGTAGCACCAAACTTGCTATGAGCAGTGCCTATCACCCTCAAACTGACGGTCAAACTGAGGTAGTTAACCGTGGGTTGGAACAATATCTTCGTGCCTTCACTCAACATAAACCGTCTTCATGGGTTGCATTCCTCCCGTGGGCCGAATTTCATTATAACACCAGCTACCATAGTGCCTTGCAAATGTCCCCTTTCGAGGCTCTTTATGGTCGAAGACCACCTACCATTTCGGCATATACTAGGGGATCCACTTCTATACAAGTATTGGATGAGACCCTAACTTCTCGTGACGAATTACTCCGCACTTTGAAGACAAATTTAACTGCTGCTCAACATAGAATGCGTCAGAAGGCCAATGCACATCGTTGAGACATTACTCTCGCTGTTGGTGATTTGGTTCTCGTACGCCTCAGACCGTATCGCCAAACATCAGTCCGTCAATTGAAACACCACAAGCTCTCGAAGAGGTTCTATGGTCCTTATAGCATCATCGAGCGCATTGGGATAGTGGCATACAAACTCCAACTTCCTCCTGGTAGTCGCATTCACCCGATTTTTCATGTGTCGGTTCTTAAACCTTTTTGTGGTACTGATAAGATGTCTGCATGTGACTTACCCTTGGAAAGCTTTGATAACCAACCTATTAATCAACCAAGGACAATTTTAGATTGGCGAACTCAATTAGTTCACGGGCAACCACAGGAACAACTCTTGGTGCATTGGGAGGGTTGTCCAGTTGATGAAGCTTCCTGGGAAGACTTGGAAAATTTCCGCACTTGTTATCCTGATTTTCAACTTGAGGACAAGGTGAGTTCTGCAGAAGGGGAAAATGATACAAACCAACCAGTGGACCCAGACCCAATAAGGAAGGATGACCTAATAGTAAGGAAACGAGTAAGAAAGAAGCCGCGTGGATGACTCGATTATGTCTCGTGACAAAATTAGAAGATCCCGATATGCTCAAATTATGTCTCAGGATAAAATTAGAAGATCCTGATATGCTCAAATTAATTCCCGAAATTTCTGTCGCAAATTATTAGTTTAATTCCTGTTTTATTTCCCTAATTTTTGCTTGATTGTTAGCACCCAATTCCTTTTAATAGCTATGATGTAATCAAAACAGAACAGAATAAAAGTTTTCAAGATCCTTTTTCCCTCAAATTCTATTATTCTTTTTCCCTTAATTTTCTGAGGAGTGAACACTCTCTCGAAGAGTGTTAAAACCTTTGAGCATTCCAGTAGCAGAGTGTATCAATGTGTTACTATAATACAAATTATTTAAGAATTTTATGGGATTCTTTTGCAATATTAAAAATAATATTTATATTATTATTTTGTTTTTGTTTTATTTCCAAATTTAAATTATACAATTTGTAGGATCATTGTTTAGTTATTAGCATCTTTTTTAAGTTATGTAAGTGTACTGATGTTTAACAACTATTTTAATTGAGAAAATTAAATATAAAACTAAATCAAATAAACTAAATTTATCCCACCGTTACCAAAATAAAGTAACCGTTTATAATGTCGAAGTGGAAATTATAATGAAAGCAAAAAAAACCATTTTTTCAACAAAAATCAAAGGTTTCATTGATGACAGTATGATATTTTAAAACAAAAATTATAAATAATAACAAATGTTTCATTTACGAAGATATTGTTATTGAAAAATAATATATATTAATGTAAATTTCTTGATCTCTATTAAAAAAATACTGTTATTTTTTTTAAAGAATTTTATTCAAACTTTTTTTTAGATGTATTTTAAATTTAAAGGAAATTTGTCCGTCAGTAAAGAAAGAATGCATAAATGATTTTAAGAAATGAAACATTAAGAATATTAAAATTTGACTATTATTTATTTAAAATAACCATTACTACTATTAGTTTTTGAAATCCCATGTATGCATTCTTTTAAAGGATTATCATTTAAAAAAATATTGTAAATAATTTTTTTAATAGTAATTATATTTTTTAGAGAACCACAATATCAATCCATTTACATATATTAAAAAAAAAACTAAACAAACAAACATTATCGCCCATACATAACATTAAGCTTTCTAAAAATCAAATACTTGTCAAAATTGTTCAAAAAATTAACTTTAACTTTTTTAAACACAAACTATATTATTTCTAAAACCGGGATAAATATTCTTACAAAATAGAAAATTTGGGTTTTTACATAAATCTTTTGATTTTTTTTAAAATGATCTTTACATATTTTATAGAATATTAGGAAATCAAATGATTAATTAAATTTGTTGGTTAATGTCAATTTGTTTAGTATATATATATATATATATATATATATATATATATATATATATCAATACAATATTTAATGTTAATATTAATATATGTATGTATATGTATCAAGTTTCAAAATAGTTAATTTTTATTTAACAATAACATATTTTATTTTAAATATTATATTTTAATTATTAAATCTAATAAATATGTTATATTTAATAAATTTTATAATTAATCCTCTTATAAATAAAAATATTAAATTAATGATATAAAGTGATATAATAGTATTTATGCAGTAAATATAATTAATATAAATTTTTAAATGTTTATAAAATATCATTAAGTCAATTAGATTTGACTAAATTCAACTATTATCATAAAAAAATTGGATTTTGACCCACGAATACTTTCAAAACTCTTTTAAGTATGAGTTAATCTGAAATTTTCATTGTCATTCTTTTTTTCTAAAATTTTTTATGAAACACATTTTTTACAAACTTTTCTATTAATTTTATAAATCTCATGAAAAGTTCAAGAATCTTACCAAATATAAAAAGTTATAAAAAAATTTATAATCATATTTTTATATTTTAAAGGATTTTTCAATTAAAAAAATACAAACAATAATAATAAAAATATGAAATGTTATAATTATATTTAATAAAATGTATTTTTCATTATATTTATTAATTTATATTAATAAACGTTAAAAGACATATAAGAGAAATGAAAAAAGTGTATAAAGACAGGAATGCTAATAACACTCAACTCCTTAAATACAATTTATTACATGCTATAAATTTTAATGATTCAATTATAGTCCAGGAAAGAGTAAATATATAAAAAAGAAAGATTATAGATTATAGATACATACAAATTACATATTACATGTAGAAAAAATATTTGTAGAAATAGTTAAAAGTTAAACGGAGAAGAGGGAAACAAAGAAGGCGCGAACTCTACCGCGCTAAGCCTTTGTTTCATTTAACTTCTCAAGACGTGTTGGTGCCTGTCTGCGCCAAAATCTCACACAATCACAACATGGGGCACCCACAACTCGCGGCCTCCTCCGCCTCTTCCGACTCAAAGTTCGGTAAGAAACGCGGCAGTTACAACTGCGGCCGCTGTGGCCTCCCAAAGAAGGGCCATATCTGCACCATCAAGACCTCCACCACCCCTTCACACTCCTCTCACTCCGCCGCATCCGCTCCTTCCTCCGTCTCCGTCGATCGACTCCCTCCGCTCCACCCCCGCCGTGCTCTCTCCTTCGACGAAGAAACAGACAGACTCGATCCGTCGGAGTCCGCGGCCGCGTGGTTCCAGGGAAACGACCTGAATTCGACTGGGTTGCCCGGGAATGTTCTTTGGGATGTGCTAACGAGGCTCCCGCCTTCGGGACTCCTAACGGCGGCGAAGGTGTCCAGAGGCTGGAGGGATATGACGAGGAGTTTGTGGAAGGCGGCGGAGGAGTTAAGACTTAGGGTCCCGGTGACTGTTCAGGTGGGTTTCGTGGCATCGATGTTGCATAAGTGTCCGGGAATTGTGAAACTCTCTCTTGTAATGGAAAGGTGGGTTCTATTTATTTCTTTAACTTATCCGAATTAGTGAAGTCGAACATTGCAATTTGAAACATTGATTTCTTTATTACTGCACCGAGTTGCAAGATCTTTTGGAATCCATAAGATATGATTTGATTAATGGGACGAAAAGGTCAATTTTGATGCACGCCATGCTATCATTTGAACAATGATATAATGAAAAGAGCATCATGCTTTAAATTAACCACAGGATTAAATAATTTGTATTAGAGTTGTGATTGTAATTATCAGCTGTGTTCCTTGATGTTGCAGTGACATGGATTCGACAATGCTGGCTTGCATTGCATTTTCGTGCCCCAACTTAGCATTCTTGGAGATATCGGTTTCTGATTCTGCAGTCAATCGAATCACCGGGTATTGATCACGTTCTAACCCTTTGTTTATTTATATGTTTTTTGTTTTGAAAAATCGAGTTTGCAACTTGTGTAAGGCGAAATTCATAAGTCGTGAACAAGTGATTTTCGTTTGGTTCAACTAGACATAATTATATATAAATCGAAATTAGGGTTTGCAATGTCAGATTTTAAGTGTTTTATTTAAGTTAACAATTACACTTAATAATTGCTAATTTGGTATTAGTAGTGGATTGAATATATCAGTTTGTGTGTGCAAATCATATTAGATTTTGGTTGATCGAGAGGAGTGACATTGAAAGAAATAATATAAAAAACCGAGCTTCACATACATCTGAGAACAACATTTTTGAGTGGTAAAGAAAGAGGCTATAAGCAATTTGTACTAGTATGGATTTGCAAACTTAAACCAGAGGATGCTACTTTTTACTGATTAACCTCGCCTATCCTGCAACTTTGATAATGCAGGAGTGAGTTAGGTCGATTTGTTGCTGATAAAAAGAGCCTCAAAAGCCTTAAGATGGAAGGTTGTTCTAACCTTGGAGGGTTTGTTCTTTGTTCTTCTAGTCTTTCTACCCTTTGGCTGTCGCATCTGTACTCTCTTTCTAAGATGGTAAATATTACTTTTCTAATTTCTTTTAATCCCCTGCGATGTGTTCAATTTCTGATTTTGATATATCCCTTTGATCTTAGTCTCAGAGTGAGCTCTGGTTACTAACAGATGGTCTGAAATGGTAGGTTTTTAATTGTCCTCAGTTGCGAGAGATTTCATTGAAGTTTGCTCAGCAAGAAAATGACAGTACTGATCTTGCAACTATGGTTGAAGGTTTGGGAAGAAGTTGCCAGAGGCTGCAAAACATACATATATATTCAATGCAACTTTCTCATACTACTGTGCTCGCTCTTACTGCTGCTCAGTTAAGGTTTGTTTAAATCCAGGCGTACTGGCCTCCTTCTCAATTGTGCTAATGAAATATAACCTTTTCCATAATCCATAAGTACCGGCCAATGTTAATGTCTCCTCTAGTTTGTGCTAGACATTCAGAGAATGAGCACATATTTATTTCATTTGTAGTTCTTGACATGATTTTTGCATTATAAACATAAATATAATTAATATTATTTTTTTTATGAATATTTCTTTTTGTTTTCGCAACAGTTTCTTTAATAAGCGACAGCTAGTATGTTCATTTATTTGAGGACTTGTCATCCTCGTTTGGCTTTTTTTTATTATATTCTATGAATCACTGACACTTTTATTTGTTTTACATATATGTATTCAATGTGTATCTGAGATACTAATATTTTTTTAATGCTTCACTGATACATAGTTGTAAAGTATCTTGCACCCTTTAAAAAAGTTATGAATTTTAGCAGCTGCAATATTCTCCTTAATGATAACTTGATGAAGTTTAGTTGGTCCTGTTAATTAGGGGCCTGCGAATGCTTTCACTTGTTCTTGGATCTGAAGTTACTGATGCATCTGTTGCTGCAATTGCATCAAGCTATCCAAATCTGGAATTGCTTGATCTCAGTGGGTATGTGTGCTTCCGTTCTAGTTTCCTTCAATGTCTTGAAAATGTATATGCCTTAGAAAATGGAAAAATTCAGTTGTGTTGCAACTCCACACAGTACGTATGTTAAAGAAGTGGAAAACCCAGAACAGTATCGCATAGTTCAAAACTGGATGAGTGACCAAAATGGATCCTCTCCAGCCAAATGCGTCTTTAGTCAAATCAAAATGGTTTTATATCTAAAAGTCTACAACAAGTAGTTGTTAGATTGGTTATTGTTAATTAAAAATTATTTATGTTAAGATATAAATTGGTCAATGTGTTTTAGAATTTGATAAACATTGACCAGTTTTACGTCAATTAACTAGTTTCAAAAACATTTATAAAGCTTTTGTAGTGGTCAATTGGCCAAATTCAAATCAATTGATCAATAGCTGTTAGACATTAAATGCAAATGAACGACTGAAATTTGGTTGGTGAGCGGCCAGAGAAAGTTGATTGGAGAGGGTCCATATTGAGTGTGTGACTGTGTTGCTTGTTCAATATGTATGTTTTAACGGTTTAACTCATAACAGATCCAGCGTCAGTGACAGTGGCATTAGCATGATTTGCAATGTGTTCTCTGAAACATTGTCAAGACTCCTTCTCGCTCTTTGCCCTAATGTGACTTCAAGTAATCATTGTTTTATGCGCTCAATTGCTTTACGAACTTTAATTTAGTTTAGTTATACCTTAACTGCTTTCTCTTACGTTTCAGGTGGCATTCAATTTGCTACGGCTCAATTGCCACATCTTGAAATTATGGACTGTGGCATGACAATATGTGAACCCGATTCTCACAATCCAATTACTGATGAAAATAACTGCAAACTGCAGAAGACATCTATTACTAATCTACACCTTACAAACCAAAAGCTAATCATCAAACATAGTTGTTTAAAGAAACTTAGTTTATGGGGATGCTCAGGCTTGGATGTAAGTTTTATTTGACTAAGCAAGTTTATTGAGCATGTTGTTTCTCACGCTTCTAATATTTGGAATTTCTTATTTTGAACTAATATACAGGCCTTATATTTAAACTGTGCTCAACTCAATGATCTGAATCTAAATTCTTGTAGAAATTTGCATCCAGGTAGTCTTTTCTTACCCGTTCTATTGTCATTATCAGCTAAAGAATTGATACACAACAATAAGGATTTCGTTGAAGAATTGTTTCAGCCTTTTCTTTTACGACTTTGTGTACAGAGAGACTGTTGCTTCAATGCCCAAGCTTAGAAAATGTGCATGCATCTGGTTGCCAGGACATGTTGATTGGATCTATCCAAAGTCAGGTATCGAAAACAGCTCGGATATTTTTTCCTAATTTTATGATTCCATATTCCTTTTAAAATGGAAGCTTCAGTTGTCAGTAAATAAGGAGAAAAATTTCCTTAGCTAACTAAGAAAACATGTTTACCGGGTTTCTGAAATTCTTCATGTTCTAACTCAAATGTACCTTTGCATACGTCTTTGTGATTTGTTCGCAGGTTTGCGACGCTTTTACTGATTTGGAAAACCTTTCACATTGTAAACGTTTACCTGATGGCTCCAAAAGGGTTCGGGTCCCTCATCTAGTGAATACAGAGGTAAAGCTTTAAGAAATAATTTGGTGTAATTTGTTATTCTGCTAAATAGACGAACTGTAAGCATGTTAGTAGTAACTAGGAAGCTATCTCCTCACGGCATTTAGCAATTTACTTTTTTGGCATCTTAATAAATAATTTCATTCACAGTATAATTTTGTGCAACAATGCTATATAGGATCACGTTCCGCAAAGTGAATGGATTTCCTGGTCATCCCACATAATAGAAATGGGATTCAGAACTTGAAAAGATTCTTTAACTTGTGCCATGCGTTGTACTGTTGCATAGGATGATTTTGGACTTGAAGAACACCTCAGCTTATATAGTTTATTTTTCTACCATAGTTTACTAAATTTTTTTTTAAATGCGCAGTCGGCCGATGATGAAACGAAGCGAAGTAGGAAAAAGAGACGACTTTGTAACGTCCTCCTGGATTGAGATGACAGGTATATATGAAAAAAAATGAGTAGTCACAGATAACTGTTGGAGAGAGATTAGGGTAAAGGATTGTTTATTGGACTAATGACTCCATTAGAGAATTAATTTAGAGTGTACATAATTACATATGCATGTAACGACTTTGGTATTTAAATTCATCTAGGCACGAAACAGTTCAAGTTGGGTTCTTAAATTTGTGCCTATGTCAGCATAAAAGGCCAGAACCGTATCTTTTTCAGAAGCTGTTATCACTTGGCATTATAGTCATAGTCGCCTCAGAGGTCTGTCATTGTGTTCTGTGAATTTTTTGAAATAAATTTACCCTCAATTATTTATCTTGAGCTGCTGCCAATATAGCCCCGTTAATCGGTCATGTATATTTTGATTTCCTTAACATAATCAACCAGGCTGGAATTCAATACGCAGATATAATATACTTGTTGTTTTAGAGCAACATGGCTATAACAATACCATTTGGGAACATAATCGTGGAGAATATAACTGTGTTCAGTGTGTTATACTGAAATATCCTTCCAAGTTTTAAATTTTTTTTTTCTTTCCAAATTAGATCTAGGACGGAAAATGGATTAGGTCTGGTGTGTTAGCTCGCTCCCATGTCTTAAAATTAATGAGACGTTAATCGGTTTTACTTAACTTGTTAATTTCACGGGTCAAAGATGGGTGGGATAAACTGATCTATTTATTTGCTTTAAAAAATAATTACATATTAAAATTAAATTAAAAATATTATATTTTGTGTATTATATTATTAAAATATATAAATATATTATAATATTATAATAAATTATAAAAATTAATCTATTAAATTTAAAATATTAATTATAATTAGTTATTTGAATACATAAATATAATAATTTTTTAGTTTATCTATTAAAAATATTAATTAATAAATAAAAATTTAAAAATTATTTATATAATTAAATGTATATCTTTTAAAAAGTACATATGAAAAAATATTAGTGGATTGAAGTGTTGATTCATTTTATTTTTTTTAGTGAGATAAACTGAGGTTTGTAATTCGTTCGATTATGATAGATTTATCTTGTTTACAAAAGACTAAATATGAAGCAGTTGAAATAAAATATATTATCTGTTTTATTATTTTTAATTTATTTATATCTAAAAATTTGATAAATATAATACCATGGAGTAGATTTAAATATGAAAAAGTTTAATTTTAATTTTTTTTTCCATACATTTTGTAATCACGTAGAAATATTTTACAATAACTTACACCTAAAACTTTGGTAAATGTAAGTAATTTAAGTTTAAATTTATAGCAAAGTTTATTTTTTGTAATTTTATTTTCTATATATTTTTAATCCCCTACAATATTTTACAATAACTTAAATTAAAAAATAAGAACAAATTATATTTTTATAAGAATTGAAATAAAATTAAATCCTTGTTATCCCAAGACAATGAAAAAAAAAGTATTTTATAATTTTATTTTCTATATATTTTTAATCCCCTAAAATATTTTACAATAACTTAAATAAAAAAATAAGAACAAATTATTTTTTTATAAGAATTGAAATAAAATTAAATCCTTGTTGTCCCAGACAATGAAAAAAAAAAGGTCGCCGTTGCCGGGGATCGAACCCGGGTCGTCCGCGTGACAGGCGGAAATACTCACCACTATACTACAACGACTTGATGTTAAGTGATTCAAACTAAGCATAACTATTATGTAATTATGAATGATGAGTGTATCACAACCCGAACGAAAGTAGTATGTATGATTGCCATGATGAAAGGCGTTCGAAATCCGGGTAAATGGAAACAACTTTCTCTTCAACGACTGCAGTAGGGTACTGGAACCATGCTTGTAATTCGGCAGGTATGCTTCTATGTAATCCTGATATTCCTATTTGCAACGGAAATTTCGTATCACAGTCCCTTCTCGTTTTACTCTAATTGCGCACTACTTCAATCTTCCTTCTCATTTCGCATCACGCAGAACCTTTGTTCCTGAGAGGAGTGGAGAATCGCGATCGGAATCCGTGTTCACTCTCCATCTTGCGCTCTTGCAAGTTTGTGCAACTATCACTTCGAACGAGGAAGAGTTCTCTCTTTAAGGTTCAGAATTCAGTTTTATAATAGAAAACCTCAAATACATCACCAAAACGATTTACGAATGATATTTGATTTATTAAATCGAATTTTCATGTCATTTTAACGTAATATGTTTGCTTGTGGGAGATTTCAAACGCACACCAAGTTTTCATTACAGTGTTGGCGCTGCATCTCTTGTTAACATGTTTGATACCGTTATTTGCTCTGCCAGGTTTTATCTGCTGAAAGGGAACAAGTTAACGTTGTAGTGGGAAGGTATAACGTCTTTAGTATTAGATACTTTGGTGTGTTTTTAATCTTCGTATGTACTTCTTTTTTCTTTCATCCACTTGCAAATGTAACATGAATTTATGATATAACTGTCAAGTTCGTTTGTGGAGTATGGTGCATGAATAATTGGATTCAAGACCTAATTTTGATATCGTTTCAAGGGAAATGTCGGAACTGGGAGCATAGCATGCAGCTTTGCTTACGTGATATTGCTAGTAAAGTATAATTGAATCATAGACACTGATTCTGTGTCTTTATTTTCTTGTTCAGAAAGAACCATAGTTATTTGGAAGCAGTTTTAGCTGCTGTCACTGAAACTTACAGTCTTATCTATTGTTAGTTTTCAATAGTCGATAGTAAAACAGAATCTTAGCTATGGCTATATCTCTGACCTTCCTTTCTTTCTCAATTTTGTTTTTGTCTCTCAAAATTGAGTGAAGATTCTGATCAAACACAGAATTTGCATAGCCCTTATTATTTACATCCGAGTGATAGGCCTGCCATTGCTCTTGTTTCACCTGTTCTTGATCCATCAAATTTACAGCTCGTGGATGGAACAATCACAGAATCCTTGCAAGCTGATTCACTCTACATTGCATGGAAAAGATGTAATTATAAGATGGTTTCATGGATCATACATTCAGTTTTAGCTTCGATTAGGCAAAGCATGTTATGGATGAATAATTCGATTGACATTTGGAAAGATTTAAAATCAAGTTATTCATAGGGAGATTTGTTACGCATATCAGATATGTAGCACGAAGCATCCTCCACCAAGCAAGGTGATATTTCTGTAACTGATTTCATCACAAAGTCGTATATAATCTGGGATGAAATTGAAAATTTTTTGGTCAAATACAACTTGTTTGCTCGCTCCAATTTTCATGGAATGTTCTTTAACTTGTTTTGGAAAGAAAAATGCAAGATCAAGTTATGCAGTTTCTATGCAGACTTAATGATCAATATAGTCATGTTGAATCAATATTCTCATGATGGATCCGTTGCCACAAATTCAAAGGTGTTTTCTTGTGTTGTACAACAAGAGTGCCAAATTCTTGGTCAATAATGCTAGTTGTTTCATGCTTCTTCTTTCTCTCTATCAAATTCTCTTGTTTATTTATCAATCATGTTAAGCTTGGATTCCAATATAGCTGGTTTCTCAGGAGAAAAAGCTTAGGTAAACCTGGAAAAAGAAGTACACAAAGATGGATATAACATTGAAATTTGGCTCTATAGTTTTCTTCTTTTTTTTGGTAGAAAAAGCTATGACTAGATTATCTAAACTGAATTGATTTTTTTATTTCTGGTTCTTGCACTTTGCAGTCGTGTTGGTGAGTTATATGATGCATTGGTTGCACGTCTTCTGCCTTCGGTGTTACTGTCATCAAATTCTAATCACAAGTAAGTTATTGTTTGTGGAATTACAAAAACAAATAAAGGTTGTTCTGAGTAATGCTGCAATTATACATAGTGGAATTTGCCTTTGCAGAACGATGGATATCCTTCACCATGCTGTATAGGGCCATTAAATGTGTACACTACACCAATTTGTGTTCTTTGTACTAAATACCTTAATGGTTGTAGTGTACTGTCAGTACTATCCACTGCAAGATTTTGAAGTATTATTTGATTGTCATAACTATACCATCATGATTCATTTATATCTTAACCTTTAACCAGTGAATCACGAAATTCTATCATTGTGAAAGCTTGTGCGAACTGCTATTTTAATTATCTGCTTGCCATTCTGCACTAGATGTAATCTTCAATTAAACGTGTCTCCTACTATCCTATATCTGACAATTTATTTATTATATAAACTAGTAAAGTGGTTACAGCTCCCTCATATACTCTTTTATTGTGGTGGGAGTGGTGAGGTTCTTGAAGTAGAAGATATAGTCAAGCATCAAATTATTAACTGTACTTTTGTGTCCTACTCTTTATTAATCATGATTTTTGTGATACTTGTAGGCTTTTAGTTGGCCTGGCTGGTCCTCCAGGTGCTGGAAAAAGCACTCTAGCATATGAAGTAGCCAGACGCATAAACCAACTTTGGCCAGAGAAAGCTCCTTCCTTTGACTCTAAGATGCAACCTCCAGATGTTGCGATTGTGGTTCCCATGGATGGTTTTCATCTTTATCGTTCTGAACTAGATGCAATGGAGGTTAGGGTCCTGCTGGTCAACATTTTCTAGTGTTATTCGTATGAAATTTTATACCAGATTCATTTCATTATTCTTAGTGATGATCTAGAGTTGACAAGTTAGAGCATGCTATAAAATCAGTTATACTTGAAAGTGCAATAAGTGGGTGATCTGTTCTCATTTTCAATTTATGTCACCTTCCCAAAACCATAAAAAGAAAAAAAATTCTAGAGTTAATTACATGCAGTACACTGTATGAATACCTGTGAACTGAGATCCTTATTTATTGTTGATAGCATGAGGAATCGTATTTCTGATATTCTGAATGTTTTTTTTTGGAAATAGAATCCTGAGGAAGCACATGCCAGAAGGGGAGGTAAGGTACTTTTTTTATTATTCATTAATTCCAGACATTGTATTCATCAGAAAAACATTATTGATCTTTCAATTGGTATATCAGCTCCCTGGACATTCAATCCACTGCGACTACTTACATGTCTCAAGAATCTAAGAATTAATGTAAGACTTTTTTTAAGATTTAGTGGTATTATTTTCAACAGGCTTGGAAACTTTTGAATTGGTTTATGGCCATTACCTTTTTCTCTCTCAAATTATGCGTATTATCTTCATGGGCTAATTCTGTTGTCAAACTGGGATACACAGAAAGAACAGTTAGCATCAGTGCATTGACATGATGGAGTTCTTATGTGTTTTGTTCTTTTGCATTTTGGTGAAACAAAATCTTAGGGATCAGTTTATGTACCATCATTTGACCATGGTGTTGGGGACCCAGTGGAAGATGACATCTTTGTGAACCTCCAGTAAGTATTTTAACAACTAAATGTGGTCATTTTATTAATTTCTGATACTAATTATAATTATATATTAAACAAAAGCAAATGATGAAATATAAATACTTAAAAGCTAAACTTAGAGAATTGTTGTCGTGAATGGGGTTGGAAGATAAAGTTTAACAAGGTATAACCAGATTCTCCTCCGTATGACATAATTGTGTCTATATTTGAATTTGTTACGCAATCCATTGTCTCTAAAACTCTGACCAAGATATAGTAATACTGGGTAAGCTGAAAAGCCAGGTTCACGATGAAAATCTACATGTCAAGAACTTTTTGTTGAGTAAATGTACCAAATATTATTCAACTTTATGGTAGTTTAATACATGTATAACAATTCTGGTAGATTAAGCCCCAGACAGTAATTAGTTTCTATGATTTTGTTGTTTATTATATTATTGATAAATTGTAAACTTAATGCTAAAGGCAATAATATCTTATGTTGTGATGTTTTTCTGTAAGACTTGTATTCTTATTTCTTTGCTTATCCAATTAGATTTGTCTTTTTACAAATCAGGGTAATTGATTTTAAAGTTGTTGCTATTTGACACTACTTGCTACAATGTGTTATTTTGAATATGTTGTTATATACTACATGAACAGATTCCTTATATTCTTCCTTTGTTTAGGCACAAGGTTGTTATTGTAGAAGGTAACTATTTGCTCTTGGAAGATGGGGTATGGAAGGAAATATCATCTTTGTTTGACGAGAAATGGTAAGTATTGACACTACCAAGGTACATATGTCTTCATGTACTTTCCTGTTGATCTTTAATAGTTTTGAAACTTGTATGTTTAGTGGTGAACGCTGTATGAAAATTCAATTGACCCTGGGATACTGCTTGAAAATTCTTCTGTGAAAATTGTTCTTATGGAAGGCAATTGTATGTTTACTGAACCACATATTCAGCTGATCATTAGCTGTGCTTGTTTCGTGCTAGTCATTATTGTTACTAGCTATATATTTGGTTTCCGAAGCCCACAAAGATAGTCATGCCATGGGATAGAAAGAAAGGCAGCAGATTCATTTCGAAGCTCATATATCAATTATTTTTTCTATAAATTCTATATTTAGTCACGAGAGTGTATTCATCTAAAAGAAAACTAATTATTATTCTCTTTTGTTGTTTTGTTTGCCTTTTTATCATTTCCAATATAGTATGTACATGCCCCTGTACTGAAAGCAAAAATGTACAGCTTTGTTTGGGATCTAATGCATTCTGACATAGCTCAGAATAATTGTTTTGGCATGACAATTTGCCTTTCACGTTGCACCATTTGTCTAAAGAGTTCATTAAAATCTCTTAAGTAGCGAATTCAAGTCCCTGTCACTGGTTTATGGTCATTTTTCTGCATTTTGCTTCAGATCTGCATAACCTATAAAACTGGGGCTGTTGGTTTATGTTGTAGAATGACAGTTGCGTAATTTCGAGATCTGTATAAAATGGCTTTATATCAATCAAGAAAGATGCAACAACCTAATTTGATGGCAACTTCTGCTTTAGCAACTTCAGATAATTCTTAGGCATACCGTTCTTTCTAATTTGTTTGTTCCTATTATTTTTTAGGTTTATTGATATTGACATTGACAAAGCAATGCAGCGAGTTTTAAAGAGGCACATTTCAACTGGTATTTACTATGTACTTTTCCCCAATATATTGTATAATTTTCCTCCTTATGTAAGACATTGAATTTACTTGTGATTTTCGTTTCCTTCTCCATATAAAGGCAAACCTCCAGACATTGCTAAACAACGGGTAAATTACTCATCTTCTAACTTGTGATGTTTGTTTTTCTGATTATCTGCCCAATATATTTGATCTATTTTGTTGGTATTGAGTGACACACTTGCATTGCAGATAGAGAACAACGACAGGCTCAACGCAGAACTTATAATGAAGTCCAAGAAAAATGCTGATATAGTTATCAAGTCAGTTGATTTCTGAGAAATCTGTTGCCGCCAAGTCAAGCCCAAGGAAAGTATTGTAACCTTAGAAGGATGACTTTAATAAAATAATAATTTTTGTGATCTTTCAGAGTCAAATAATTGATTTTGTTACTTACTATTATACAACAGACTTTGGTGCATTTTTAATTATTTTTCCTCAGCCTCACTAAAATTTATCTTGTTAACTGTTCAAATCCTAAAAGTTATCCACAGCATGAGGGACATATTTTGGCAGTGGATCCAAGTTCATACCAGACATGAAAGCCACTGCTAGCTCTGTTTTTGGGTGTGTCGGGGGATCTCAACGTTTTCTGTCCTTTCAACTAAAAATATAATCTCTCAACAAAGATACAACTTAAATTTTATAGCAGAAGGGTTAATGTGGTACGCTTGGTATTTTTAACAAGGAGAAATTTTAACGTAATTATCCATCTTATTGGATTGGACTTGGAAGCCTTCTCCACTTTGCTTCACCATCGTGGGAGCAGCGGTGGAGGGATTGTCGAATAAAGATGAAAGAATAAAATAAACAAGGAAAAAAGCATGATAGAGAAGATATACAGTAAAAGTTTACATCTCCGATAAATCTAATTAATGGTCATGGCTAATGGTGCATTATGATATATGTAATGGTGGTTGCTTCACCTTTGTTTTTATGTAAAATTAATAAAAATATCTTTATTATAATTTTTTACTCATTACATAAACTTTCTTTTATTTCTTAAACAATAGTATATAAAATTTAAAACTACCCTTGCTGTAAACATACACCTACATGACACAAAATTATCCTTCAACAAAAGCACTTTCACGGACAAAAGTCTCACTGATATGCTTTTGAGGGATTTAAATTACTTTTTCACAAGTTTTGACATGCTAAGAGCATATTTAACGAGAGTTTGTCACTTTAAAAGATCAATGCCAATTATGATTCACTTTGGAAAATTAATATATTTAAAATTATTTTTATAAATGCTTATTTAAACATAACAAAATGCGTAGTTTCTCCATCCTTAATATAAGATTTTTTCGATATTTTCTTTGTTTTTTGTTTTTTTAGGTTAATTTTATATTACCCTCACAACCAGCTACTTTATTTATTTGTATGTCCTATTGTTTTAATATATTACCTTTGTTTCTAAATTAAAATTAATTCACAAGACGAAACGCTAGATTAAATTTGAATATTTTTAAAAAGTATCAATAATTAAATATTGTCTTAATTATATCATAATATAATCTGTTTATTATAATTCTATTATATAGTTTTCATATATTAAAAAGTATTTATAATTTCTAAATTTTAAATAGGAAAAAGCATATTTTTGTTCTTATATATATATATATATAAATTTATTTTTAGTCTTTATATTTTATTAATTTTTATACTTGAATTTAACATTTAGTGATGGTTACCATAACAAAGTTCATAAAGTGACTAAATTTACAAAATATATGATTTTAGTCTTAATTTATATCTAAACATTTATTAACTATTTTTATCATCACAAAGTTAATAAAAAGACTATTATTATTTTTTAATTTTAAGAACTAATTAATCAACTTCTAAAGTACAGGAACAAAAACAATTTCATGAAAAATATAAGGATTAGAAATATATTTAACTTTTTAAATTATAATATAATCTATATGTTTAAAAATAATATATTATAAAATTCTAATTATGTAAAAGATGCTACCAAAAATGACTAGAGTCGTCTCATTTATGTAAAAATAGATATTAATCTGAGTTATGAAGACAAAAATATTCAATTGATTGATTTAGTTAGAATACAAAAGTTTTGGAAAACAGAATAGAAAACAAAATTCAACAAAATCAGAAATAAGTTTGAATTAGAAAAATTTCCAACCTTTAATTTTCAAACGTCAAATCACGATCGCAATCCTTAATTATAGTAATTTCAAGTCAAAAGCGACTCATTATTGATTAAAAGCTTTTTATTTTGCTATACCTTATTTATTTTATTCTTTTATCTTTGGATGTCTAGAATATTGCTTCATCGTGAGAGTAGATTAATGAATATATATGTTTGCACAATTTTTTTCGTAAGTACTTTAAAAAGACAAAAATAAAAATAAAATAATTTCTTATAAGTTACAACTAATTTACACGTAAATTAAAAAAACTATAATAACTTATTTTATTAATTTTAAATCATAAGAAACTTATTTCATTTTATTTTATTTTCTCATAAAGATGTCTGTCCCCATACACACATATATATAATGAACATTGAATTTTGCATATAAAAGCATTAATAACTATATACGAAAAAATATTTATCTCAAGCATATAGATATATATCAAAATTAAAGTTTGTATATATAATTAAAAAAACAAAAAAAAAAATCTAACCTCTCCTCCTTTATTCTATAGAAACGACATTATCTGAAAACTTGAGGATAGGAAATGAAAGTATTGAGTCCTTCACCGCAGTGTTGTTGGTAACCTTATCTGTATGTACACTTCCTTTATGCGTATTTCCCCAATTCAGGGACAAATCTAATCGCAGTGATTGAAGTGACGAAACCAACTTGGCTTCGATCTGCAACTCTATTTCTCAAGTGTTCCGGTGGAGACCACTCGACAATGTTAGTTTCCCAACTATATGTGACAGGACTTAGTAGTCATCATCGGTTTCTTGCATTTGCATGTTACTTTCATCAATCACCACAAAAATAAATCAAAATACCGAAACCATCAACAACATTGCCAACTTGTGAGGGAATTGAACTATTAATCAAGATCCCAAGGATGAGGAAGCTCCACTGTACTTCCAAATTCCGATCCAACCACATGCACACATCGAATATTTTTAAAGAAATTGGATTTCATTATTTCACAGAAACTGAAGGCAACAACTTGAAATATTAAAGAGGCACCTTCTTATTTTCTGACATTGACTCAATACATACATCTTGTAATGTGAGATGACACTTTAGGGAAAAAATATACGCCTTCAAGAATAATTTTCTCATGTCAATCATGGAGTGCTATTATATGCTGGGTGTTAAATAAATTTGAGCTTCATGTATTAACTAAAGGTTTAAGCCATTAAAAAGTATACGTGCATGGATAGAAATTTTTCAGCACCTTTTGTAGGAATTAATCTCATATTTTAGACGTGTCAAGAATAAATCATAAAAGTTTTATAATTTTCTGCCAATTTTGATTAAAAAGATTTGTCTAAATTTTCTTGCTTGAAACGTTGAATTTGCCGTAAATTTACGAATGTATTATTAATACAGAAATCAATGATAATTTTAGAATTCAAATTAATTTCCTTTAGTAAATGGAACCAAAAGTTACAAGGAGGGATCGTTTACGCGCATTGATGATCTATAAAATTAAGTTTGACCAACACACCCCTTTTTCTCTCTCTCTCTCTCTCTCTGTATATTTATAAATGGAAAATTAGACAGCAATATCTTGAAAGAATATAATAATAAATTAAAGAAGGTATTTGAAATGGGCATGCATAAATGCTCCATGCACACGCACATGTTGTTGTTTCCCATCCACCATGTTCAGGGAACATTTCCGGTACTATCTATTCGGGTCTTGGTGATCAAAACAAAAACTAACGTAAATGCAATAAATACAGTTTTGTTATTATATGAGAAATGATTAATAGCAAGGAATCTCATAATGATAAGGGAAAACTTTACAAGACAATTTTAAATGTAAAGCATGATAATATGTCGCTACAACTACAACAGACAAACACATCTTTAAATTATTATTAAGCAAGCACTCACACAACACAAGCAAAGATATATAAGAAAGCCAAGTCTAACAACAACATAATTGAGAGTCATTATGTTTCTGTTCATGATTAGTACTTAATTAGACATGCATCTCATGTTTTGTTTGAAATATCATATAACAAACCATAATCATACACAAATTAACTATAATTCAACACCCTGCAATGTCCATCCGTGTCTGCTGCTGCTGCTTCTGCTTCTGCTTCTGCTTCTGCTTATCCTTACTTTAGTTACTAACCCAACTGGATGGACCTGCTCATCAATGTCCCACTAGTCTAGCTCCTGTTCTTGCTTTTCGCCATGGCTCTTGGTGCTGCAACGATAATATTACAGCAAGATTTTTTTAGAATCTGTATCTAAAATAAGATCACTAGAATTCACATGCATATTACACGAGCCACTAGAAGGTTTATAAAGACTTGATACTTACCAAGACCAAGACCAATAGCCTCCTTTCCTTTCATGATGCGTAGACGCTTGCATGATTCAACAAACATCCTGGTAGACATGAACAAAATCCATGTTATACTATAAGCCTGTGCTATATATATGACTATAATTAAGCTGGTTCGACCATGGTTAATATTCATACGGTTTATATTCACTAAATTGTCTAAGATTTCATGACGAAATGACTTCATTATCATCAAAATACACATTCAATATTCCAAATATTTTGGTGCATCAATGATGATGATCTGATAATAATAATAATAACATAAATTGACATAACATGGTGTAAGGAGGCATTTCTTCTGATGCATGTGGACAAATCATATAAATTTCTACGTAAATCAGTTTGCTAAATGGAGTGTTCTTTGAAGTTATCATACATAGTTGAATTATGGTGGCCAAATTCATTTTGAGTGATATGGAGTAGAGGTGAAAGACTTACTCCCATGGAACATCACCGACAAGCATCCAGTCACCATCCTTGTCCTCATAGGTTGGGACATAATCAGAACTGTTCAAAAGATCCATCAGCTTGCTCTCATTCATGAAATCCTTCATTCCTTGGGATTCACAATTCCCTACCATTGCATACACCAACAACACATGCAGCATTAATTGATTATCATTAAAATCCAATCCATGCATGCAAAAGACTTGATCTCCCTTTTCGACAACTTGATCAAACATATATTTATAAACATTATTCAAAAACACAGGGTTGCTTACAAAAGAAGAAGAAGAAGAAGAAGAAGAAGAAGAAGAAGAAAAGATTGTGTTTATTTACCAATGGTGAAGGAGCTGAACATTTTGCCTAAAGAATCAGAGAGCTCGCGGTAACTCTTATACATCTTCAAGTCCACTTTGCGGAGATAAGGTGCTCCATCCATGCTAACTTTCACAAAGCTTGCATTAGGGCTGCTATTCTTCTCGCCCTCTTCTCCAACGCTCTTCTGCACAGCCAACATGTTCTTCCGGAAGGACCGCACAGGTGGCCAACCCACCACCTGTGCCCTACACATTCCATTTCATTTCAATCCATCACTTTTTTATCATCAATACAATACAAGGCATCATCAACACATATATGGTTAATTATATAACCAACTTGTTAAATAAATCAATTCTTTAGAGAAACGTTTCAGGTTTCTTTCAAGAGTTAATTAATTAATTCAAGAATATTAGAAAAATATAGTTGGTGATGACAGAGGCTGAGAGCTATATAACTTTGCATTAAAAAAAAAGAAGTTTAATTAAGCATGTAAAAAATTATGTTTCTGTTTTACTATACTAATTCAACTCTCCTTTTCTATATATTCTTTAAATATGACTTGGCTATTTATATTACTGGTGTAGTTTTACTTTTATTAACCCATACCGCGGTTTACATCACTGCGTACATGAATCGGCAGAAGAAGAATTATGCTATGGCTGATCAGGACAAGAAAGGTGTAACTTTTTTCTGGTGTACTACATATCATCAAAACTTTCAGACATAATTGTAAATTATTGCACTTTTCTCCCTAACTGGCTAGGCAGGTAGAGCACGGTTTTAGCATGAACCCGTACGTGATTCCATATTTATGGTGTACGAGACTTGAGAGTCTTTATTTATTTTTTTCTCATTGCATATTATTCAGGAAATAAAAATATTTCTTTTGGACAAAACTCGGAAAAGTTTTTTTTTTTTTAATCTCTCTCAGACCTTCTCTATCACAAGTCTATGTTTCTATCTTTTCCACAGCAAGCTTCATATATAAAATAAAATAAAATTACTTGCTTATTAGCCCTAGACCATACCATGAATTAGTATACGATACTAAACATGTTGACACGCTTATTAACTCTCTCTCTCTCTCTCTCTCTCTCTGTGTGCATATATATATATATATATATATATATATATATATATATATATATATATATATATATATATATATATTATCATGAAAGTTACAACTAGCTAGAAAATAGAGAAGAAATTAAATCCGGTCTTTGTTATATTAAATAAAAGCATGAAAATGTTTGAGAATTTGTAACTGGTTAGTGGTATGATGAAAAACATACTTGGCTGGAGGCTTAGCAGGATCTGCTGGCAGAAGGGTTTTTTCCTTAGGCAAGGTGTTGTGCTTATCAGTTGGATCTGCTCCAGTGGTTGGTTCCTTAGATGAAAGATTAAGCATCAAATCCACTGAGGCAGTGTCATCCTGAGTTTGAGTCTCGGAGAATCCTCTCTTCCGCAGCACCTCTTCAGTGCCTGAGGCACCGTTTCCAGGCAGTCCAAGCCTTAGCTCAGTTTCCTCAAACCCCATGTTCTTCTTCTTCAGGCCAACCTCCATGAGTTTTCACTCTCTTATATGCTCTATTACTTTATCACTCTTTCTCTCTCTAAGCATTCAGTTATTTGTTTGGTATGTGGCAATAATAGTGAAAGATAGGGGGTGGGGGTACTAATGTACTATGGTATAGGGGCAGGGGAAGGACAAGGGGACGTTTAAGGAGGGTAGCGTTTGGGCGTGGTGGGCATTAATACAAGGACGCATGGTGCGTCCTGTCTTTTTAATTGAAAATTTTCAGAGGGAATGGGTTTGTGACACGTGGAGGAATGTGTGAGCTGGACTTTTCTGTGCATGCTGGCCTTGGTGACGACAAGGTGATGTTATCTTCCTATGATTGTTGAGTGGAAGAAGCGGAAGTGGACACCCCATGTTGCTTGCTTACACCACTTCATTTCTTTATTCATCCTAGGGTTTCGTCATTTCACACACAAGGCTAAGTGACTCACTGCCTTCATGCCTTTTTCATTCTACATTATTCTTCTGCTTTTATTCCTGTTCCCCTTCTCAACTCATGTCTATTGTCACATATAACTATAACTTTTATAATACACTTCTTTGCATGCACACGCAAGATGGATTATTCCATAGCCTAGTAACTGTTGATGTTATGTTCCAAAGGAAACAAAAAAAAGTCTACTTTATTGCAACTTTTATGTAATGATAGATGTATATTAATTCAAGTGCGTTCATTGAACTGTGATGCCCTTTATTATGCAAAGATCATCGTTAGAGGTGAACACCACTATTCGTCTTGGGGTTTAGCCACCATTATTATTGGTCTTAGATCGATAATCCACCTAGGATCGATAAAAAAGATTCTAAACTCAAGGATTACTCACTTCCCAAGTGGACTCTTACGTGGATGCATGCTTGAGAAAAAAATTAAACTCCCTGGTTTTCTCCATCAATTGTTTTTATGCAGTTAATTCATAAAGTGTAATCAAAAGTTAAAAAAATTGTTTCACCATTACCAGAAAGTTTTTCACTATTTGGCTAGAGTTGTCAATCAGAGTAGCCACACATAATTAGCACATATCGTACCTGTTAAATCAGCATACATTGCTGAAAGAGACGATACTTTATCTCTGGTGACAATAAGATTTTTTGTTTCTAACGTTTTGCTCAACATGCGTGTATACATGACTATATAAGCTGAATCCTTTCATTGTCTGCCAATCTCTCTATCGGTAATGTCAAACGTAATTTGGTTCTCTGTGAAATAGGCATGTTGCCTATTAAGATAATCATAGTTGTTCTGTGGTACAGAAACAAATGAAACATAAAGTCAATTAATGAAAAATGAAAGACATATGTGGTTAAATGCTTTTACATCAATTATTAACTTGCTAAACCTATTTTACACAAACCGCGTGTAGAGAAGCTTGTAGTTATCTTTTTAATTATAATAGGTAATACTCACTTAATAATACGTCATTTAATGTTCAGAATTATTACTACAAATAAAGGTACTTGATCAGTGCACTTTATAGACAGACTAAATTTTTGTTGGGATGTGCCCTTAATGAAAGTTGTGGTGAAAAAAAGCATATGTAAATCAAGGTGTGCAATTATTTGACAGGAAAACTTAACTGTGTTGTTGTTACTGTGTACATACGTAAAGATTTGTGGCTTGATCCGTGAGGTGTTACTTGAGAATTGCACGCACACATGGTGGCCATGTCCATGTTGCCCCCATTGTCCTCTCCCTTCAACATCTGGGATTTGTCAAACTTGACAGTGAGAAAAGAAACTGAAAAGATTGTGTCCAAGATTATGTTAGAGACCTTCTGATCGTGGTTGATATTTGAGTCAGGTTAAGTTTGAGACACCCAAATCTTGTATTTGGCAATGGCCTTTAATTTGTGGGATGACTGTGATCCTCATTCACGCAAGTTGAGGGACATCATCTCAAAGGAAATCCATTTTGGTAGTCTGCCAACTTATCAAGTAGAACCAATATATTTAGGTTCATAATTATAATTTCAAATTTATTTCTTCTTACAAAAAATTTTCTTTATTAGGTGCAACCTAACATGTTACTATAATATATTAGTTTTAAAATGTTATTTTGAATCTGTCTCTGCACCACACCTATATAGGCCTAGTGTACTACATGTATGTTGTTGGGGACATCATAACTGAACAATTAATATTTGAATGAAACAAAAGGTTGAACTTTTTTCAGGTTTTTCTCTCTCTTTTTTCCCGTTGCATTGCGACTTTTCGTATCTTTCTTTTAAAAGTTCGAATGTTTTGTATATTGGGAAATCATCATTGAGTCTCTAAAAACTATTAAAAGATGTTTTAATTGAGTCCTGAAATTTATCTTATCATGATACGGGTACAAATTTAAAATTTAAAACATCAACATGCATGTTTAGGTTTGAGCGGAAGAACCTCATCCTTTTTTAAAGGGCTTAAATTAATCTTTGAGATATTGGTATGTGTATAGAAACTTAATTACTATCCAAAGAGATTTGCATTTGCATTTAAAACTAAAAATTTATATTTTTTTTAATCAAGCTATAAAAAAATTATTTTAGATATTTCAGAAAGTGCTATGTAAAAGGATTCAACTAGTAAAGAAATTGTAAAAGCTCAGCATGAGTACTAAAAAAAGTTAATGGGCAAGTCCTTAAAACGGCACATCCACAATTGTAGAGTGTAGGTATATAGGAAAATGGCAGCTCATGGGTCAAACATGTGAAGTTTCATCAAAATGGGAGAATATGAATTAGGAAGCAATAGAATATGAATACCAAAAATGGTGTAGGAGGTGATTTCAGTTGAATTTGCCCTTTTCCCACTTGGTCCTAATTGGGTATAGGAAGTGGGACCAAGAGTCATGTGGTAAGATTCATTAGGAAGAATTGTTAGGCCATGTGGGTTTGTTGGCCTTATGTTGTCCTAGGTGTCAAACCCTATCCCATGTGCGTAGCTCAAGGGCACCCCACTCACCCTCTCTCTCTCTCTCTCTCCCTCCCTTACCTTTTAACCCTTCTATTATTCTTATCTACATTTTCTCATTTTTTACCATTCACAAATATAAGACACGGAACAAGAGTAATGCTTCGTGTAAATGGAGAAAACAGTTCCACTATATTCTGAAACATTCCCTCACACTATAACTTTTCATTCTCAAAACCATCCCCATTGAATTCAGGCATTGAAGTTTTTCCAATCCCCAAACCAACGAATAAGAGAACCATATGATGTTGGTCACCATTACCCCTTCTGGGAGAAAAATGTTAGTACAGTTTACATATATTATATATATACAGAATTCATATTTCTGTATACTATTGTCATTTATCTTTTATATTCGGCGATCAACAAATTTATCAAACTATTTTTAACTAAATTCATTAGTGGCGGGGAAGAGTTATTACATCGTACCATCAGTGGTCATTGTAGACCAATGATTTATTTTGCTTTTGTTCTGTTCAAATAATTTTGCAATGATTATATGAGAGATATTGCTAGTTTAATAATACACTCGGCGGTGGTTAACATTTATATAACATGCATGATACCCAATTTTAATTTTTTATGTTTTTAAAAAGAAGAAAAACAGAGATTAGACCCAGATAGGGCCTGATTTCAGGGGGTCAGGGGCTACCTAGGAACAGAAAAAAATCAAAAAGAGATTACAATCAAGACATTGCATTAAAAATTATTGGCATTTGGTGGTGCACAGAGAGATCCTAAGTCATCATCGTTTTGGTGATACATAATTAACCTCCTTTTCAATGCGTAAAAAGTTGTTCCTTTTCTTGGATCTTGCGTGATCTCAGATCCAATGTTGTGCTTTCTCGAGCTCCATCACCAACTGCAAATTCGATTCCATGTTTACCAAAAGCGTACATTATGGAGTAGAAAAAATTATCTATTATAATGATTATTATTTTATAATTATTATTATTATTATTATTATATAAAACAAGAAATAAAAAATACTTCTAATTAATTACGAATATTTATAATAGATGACAAATAAAAGTAATCACTTATGAAATGTTTTTTTTAAATCACACCAATTCAGATAAAAAAAAAAGAAAAATTTTATCTTTTCTCAGCAAATTCGTTTCCATTTTGGCGAACACTGCATGCATGGAAACTACTGAGCTTAAAAGTTCACTCTCTTCATTATACCATTTCAAACATGGCAACCCCCTTGGTACTAAGAATCTGAGACTTTTGTTTTGTGAATGTTTCACATTCAGATTGTGTCAGTTCTGCACATGACAATGGTGTAGGCTTAGGTAGCTACGGTCGACTTTAATATGTTGGGTGAATTAGCTGTGATGTGAGCTATTGTTCACTAGTTTAGGTAGACCCAATATTTCACAGGGGCATGCACCATGCTACCCTACGTCATAACCTTAATTAAGCTCTCTTTCACTACTAGTAAAAATTTACACTTATTATAATTTTCAATGAGCAAATTTTAAAAAATTATCTGTTGTAACATTTATGTAATTAATATTTTTTTCTAGTACTTTAACAGATAAAATAAAATAAGACGAAGAAAAGTGTGCGTTATCTTTTAACTATACAATATTTTAAATGGCGAGACAAGGTGAAGGGTAGAAGTCAGGGACAACGATTTGATTCAGTAATACAAATTGCTTTTGAAAATTGACTTTCTTGTAAGTTTGAAGCCTCTGCACAGTTCAAGAAATTCCCCATTGCTTTCAGTAGATTCACAATATAGACATTTCAATTATTTCATCTGTCATGTTTAGCCCCAACTAGAAATAGATCATTCTAATTCAAGTAAATTCATATATACTGCTTAATAAATAAAAAAATCTATCTTACGCTAATACTTAATTGTTTGAAAAATATTACAGTATATGTTGTAAAAGTAAAAAGAAAAAAAAAGTGGAGGATTGTGCAATTTCATTAAACTAGAGATAGTTAATGTAATTTATTCAAAAAATTAAAAGTAAAAAGAAAGATAAAATAATAAATAAGAATGCATGAACAAATAAAGATAAAAAATAAATTTTATTATCATTCAACTAAACCATGTTTTTATATTATTTAAAAAATAGATTATTAATTTAATTCTATTAAATTAATTTTTAAGTTTAAATTTACATTTCTTTAATCATATATTATAAGTTAATGATAATTTTATTTGATACGAAATTTCTATATACTCCCTTATGAATAATTTAATAACAATCTGATAATGAGTAATATATTTTAACAATGTAGTTAGAATTGATGCTAATATTATATTATAAATAAAAAGGAATATAATTCAAGCATTAAAAAATATTTATAAAATAAGATTTGTTCTTCAATTATATATAAAATGATTTATTGAAATTTCATGTCCATTAAAAAAATATAACTAATTTATAATATATAATTAAAAGTATAATTTAACCTCAGATACCGAGATTGAAGAATTATATAATGCATATCTTCGTTTCAATTTGATAAAAAGTATTTATCAATTTTTTTTCATGTTTTAATTTATAAACTCAAATTCTAAATTTTATTTTAAAATTAAAAAAACAATCGTATTTATAAACTTCATTCAACTATTTCTATATTATTGACCATATTAAAAATGAAAAATGTTTTTATAAAATAAATAAATAGAACGAACATGACGACAACAAATCAATAATAATTACAGAGATTCTAAAAATATTTGAAAATGGTACTAAAGTTGTGGTCTTCACGTGAAAATATAGTAGTTTTGATTTTGATTTACCAGAGAAGAAGTTTAAGAATTAAGTAAAAGAAGTAAAACTGTGAGGGAGAGGTGAAGCAGGAAGCATCCTAAGGTTTGAATGATGGACGCAGAGCGAGTGACGTACCCATGCCATGGCCCTTCACCATGCCTGCGAAACTGGGGGACCTACGTGCAAAAACTGTCATGAAAAATGAACATTTTTAATTTCTCTGTCACTGAAACTGATTCTTTTTCATTTTTATGGTCAACTTCGATACGCTGCTTCTGCATGGATCTCAAACTGCCACATTTTCGTTGTCGGTAAATCCCTAAAACTTGGAGAGGGGGTCAAACGCAACATTCAGCGAGAACATTACGTTAACCCATGTTACAAGTTAATGCAAAATCACTTGCTACTTACGCATTACGATTTTGTTTTGATTTTCAGATTTTCAATCTTTAACTAGTATGAGATTGTTATAATTTATCTAATGGTTATTCATTATTTTAAAAATACAATCATTTTTCTTTTATCACAGAAAAAATGATTTCCAATCCCAGCTTATGTAGATAAAAAAATGTTAGTATTCGTTTGTTTTTTTAATTAAAACTCTATTTCTTTCTCTATCGTCTAAAAAAATAAATAAGAACATCAAAATGTAATATATAATCTTCAAAATGTAAATTAGATAATTTACCCACTCTAATATTTTAAAATATATTTTCATGAATGTAAACTAAGTTAATATTTTAAATAGTTAAGTAGTTTAATTATCCTAAAATAATAAAAAAGATATAATTTAAGATAATATCAATCGATTATTGCATTAAATGTTTTACAACTTATTTGTTGAACGGAAACCACAGTAAAAATTTAAAATAATTAGGTATCATAATTCTACTAAAATTGATAGAACAGAAAACAATTAAACGTTTATCAATGAAATATTATGTTGAATAATGAAAGGCTTATTACGTTCGAAAATATATTAAATAAATTATACTTATCAATATAAAAACTAAAATAATAATATTTCTTCTCCTTCTTCTTTTTTACGTAAATGGAATATTGATTATTTCCTCATCTTTAAAATTGAAAATAGCCATAATTTTTCAGTCCATAACATTATTTTATATTCATCATCAATTCTAATATAAATCATCAAATAAATAAAATATTATTTCAAAAACAATAATATCTTCAATACAAGTTTTATTAAATTTAGGTTTCACTTATATTCTATTATTATTATTATTTATTCTTGGAGTATATTTCTAAACTTGTAATATCAATATTAGATTAGGACTATCATGTAGAATAGATTGGTCTATGGAGGTAATGACTTTTTGTTAGCAATCAAATAAATTAATTAAGTTAATGATTCTTTTGTGTTGTCGTCTAATCTTATAATCTAATGCATGCAATGTATTCTAATAACAACACAATTATCAAAAAGACCACCACCATCAACATTGTGATATGATTATTTAAAGTATTAATTCATATGTAACTTTATTTGATAAAATCTGATACTATACAATGTTCTAAATTTTAATGAATATGCTTAAATTTGTGACTAGTTCAACTTTATAAGATATAATATTTTATTTGCTTTTACTTATATTTTAATATTCTTGGTTTATATGAAACAACATTTAAATAATTTAAATCAAGCATCCACGTTAATTACAAAAATAACAAATATTAGTTGGGACAACAAAATTTGTTTCTGTCGATTAAGATGTGGTTACATTTTCATAAATAAATTTATTCATATTTTTCATTGATAAATATGTGGATAAATATTACCCAATTCATCATTAATTATCCTCATATGTAAGTATTGTCATTAAATAATCACTACAAGAAAAAACATATTTAGCCACCGAAATTAGCGACCGAATTTTCCGGTCGCAATTAGCTGACCGTTTTAGCGACCGATTTAATTTTGGTTGCAATTAGCGACCGATTTAGCGACCAATTTAATTCGGTCGCAATTAGCTGACCGATTCAGCAACCACTTTAATTCGGTTGCAATTAGCGACCGATTTAGCGACCAAAATATGATTTATTTTGCACTTTTTTATTTAGCGACCGAAATAGCGACCAATATTTTTGCGTAGCAAAATTTCGGTCGCTAAATCGATGGTTATTTCATACTGAAATAAAAAAATCATTTAGTGACGATTTAGCGAGAATTACAAATTGAAATAGTGACCGAATTAAAATCGGTCGCTAATGAGAAAATAGCGACTGAATTGAAATCGATCGCTAATGAATATTATTTTTTTATTATATTTAAATTTTTTTTTATAAATATACTTTAATTGTTTTAGTATATTTTTTACAATTTATTTTTTAAAAGTAATTTAGTTTTTAAAAATAATTTAATTTTTAAAATATACTTTAAAAATAAACTTTGGTCTCAATATTAACAAAATGAATTGTAATAAATCAAATTTATTAAAAATTTAAATTGTAATAAATTAAGACTAGAGTGATGTTAACTATTCAATACATTGTTTAAGAAAAGTTTAATAACAAATATTCTTGAATTTATTTTTCAATTGAAAATTTCAATTGAAATTAATTTATATTTTAAAAATTTATATTAAAAAATTGAAGAAAATAGAGATTTAATTATACTTTTAATAAATTTAACATAATAATAGTTTTGATTTTTATTTTTAAATATTTATTTTAATTTTTTAAAACAGAGAAACTATAATTTTAGTTTCTAAATACTAAATTTAAAGAATTAAATTTATTATTATTTAATCTTTTAATTTTAGTATTAAAAATTTAAATTATATTTTATTAAATTAAAATAATATTACAATATATTTTTCTACTTTGAGAATGAAAAATATAATTAAACTAAAACTGAAAATATTATAATACATTTTTGAACTCTTTTTGATTAATTTTTTTCCTAATTTTTTATAAAGTCAATTTTAATATTTAAAAGTATTTAACATTTTGCTTTCGAAATGTTTTCTGTATTACCAAATTCCAGCTCTTAATAACCTCTACAACCAAATTCCAGTCTAGAGAAACCGATGCCCAAATTCCAGGCACCAAACAATACAAAAAGAATGTAAAGAAATGAAAAAGAAGAAACTAGAATGCTCAAACCAGTTTATGCAATTCTACTGTAAGTGTTTCTTCTTCAAAAGAAATCAAGTTGCCTCAAGAAAGATTTTCAAAGAACTTCTCAAAAGCTGATGCGAATCTTTCTTGAAAAGAGTGTTGAAGTTTGCTTGATTGATTGCTCAAGGATGTGTAAAAGATGATATTCAATGTATGTTAAAAAAGTTCAAGCCAAACTTGTTTTAATAGAAGATTTTCAAAACTGCTGGTTTAATTAATCTGTTAAAAGATTCTTTTAATCTGTTAAAAGTGCAGTTTTAATCTGTTAAAACTTCTTTTAATCCATTAATACGTTCTTGATTCTTTAACGATTTGTTTTAATTGATACGACAACGTTTATATCAATTAAAACACTTTACAAAAAATCCTCTAAGTTGATTTAATCGATTGTTTCACGATTCAATCGATTTAAATACTTGCAAAACTTTCTTGTATAACTTTTCAAGTTATTTTAAGCTGATAAAAATAAGTTTTAATCGATTAAAACGCTTGTGTAGAAATTTTTAAGTTGTTTTAATCGATTGAAACGAGATTTAATCGATTAAAGCTGATTCTGATCGGTCATAATTGCATTATGATCGATCATCCTGAACCCTTAAGTGGTTTTAATCGATTAAAATCAAGTTGTATCGATTAAAATATTGTAAAAACATTTCACTTGACATTTTAAGTAATTTTCATCGGTTCTATCAAAGTTGTATCAGTTAAAAACTTGTTTGAGAAAGCTTTTGTCAAAATACTTTGTTTTTAATTGTTAAAAACATTTGTAGAGGCATTTTGCAAAATCTTTTAAGTGAAGAAACCTCATGCAACATAAATCTTTTAATTTTAGTATTAAAAATTTAAATTATATTTTATTAAATTAAACTAATTACAATATATTTTTCTACTTTGAGAATGAACAATATAATTAAACTCAAAATTGACAATATTATAATACATTTTTGAACTCTTTTGGATTAATTTTTTTTCCTAATTTTTGATAAAGTTAATTTTAATATTTAAAAGTATTTAACATTTTGAATTCTGAAAGGTTTTCTCTAATAGCAAATTTAAAAACATAATATTCAAAAAAATAGTTAATGTAAGTTTTCATTATGATGGATGAAAAGAATAACATAATTGAGAAGATATCATAGCGGTTAATGGTTAACCGCTATTAGAAGTGCACTTTTAAGAGCGGTTCTTGTGGAACCGCTATGTAAAATGTATTTCGCTTGAGCGACAACGGTCTCGCTCGAGCGAAACGCCCCCTGCACAAAATTGGCATTCTCGGGTTGTATTTCGCTTGAGCGAAACTATTCTCGCTTGAGCGAAATACAATTCTGATCGATCATAACTTGAAATGATCGATCATAATTGAGAGGATATAATAGCGGTTCCCTTATAACCGCTATCCGAAGTGTATATTAGATAGCGGTTAAGGTTTATACGTATTAAGTTCCTAGAGCGTATCATGTACGACCATATTTTAAGATTGTTAAGTCTCGAGTTGATTTAGCGAGACTACTCTCGCTCAAGCGAAATCCGATTCTGATCGATTATATTTTCAAAATGATCGATCATATTTGATAATTTTTTCAAATAATTAATTATAATCGATTAGTTTTCTAAATTATTGTTTAGAATTGATTAGTTTTTCAAATAATAGATTAGAATTGATTAATTTCAAATATATATTAAAAATTTATAATTAAAAATATAGATTATTTAAGAATATTAACTATTGTAAAGATAAAGTAGAACATGGGAGGAGATGAGGATGATAATATAATGATAGAAGTTACAAAAATGTAGAATTGAGAAGTTTGAAACAAAAAAAATTATGAAAATAGAGATTTAATTACACTTTTAATAAAT